GTGGGGACAGAGACAGCCTTGCCTTGGTGGAGCTGGGGAGGGAGGTGGCTGAGATGGTGCACTCTGACATAAAGGCTTAGTGGCCTCAGTCTTGGCCAGATCGATTCCTTTGAACCTATGTTTTGAGAAGGAAGGTTCCTTGGGGCTGTTCTGTCCCCTTCATTCCATGTTCTTGGAGGGCAGGGACTCACAGTCACTCGATCAGACATCAGCTCGGAGGACCCTGAGAACTAGGGGTCAGAGGTCAGGGGTCAGGGAAGGAGAGGAGGAGCGAGACCTGGGAGGACCTTAGAGACCAGCTGGTCCTTGGTTTTCATTAGGGATGTGGAGGCTCAGGGTGGGAAAGGCCTTGATCAGCCCTCAGAGACTGTAGGTCACGGGTCCTGTATGTCAAGACCCTGGTCTTAGGGAGCACAGAGGTTGGTGGACCCCAGGCTAGAAGGATTTGGAAAGGAAGTACTGATCCTGGCCGTTTAGTGCTGAGTAATGGGTTGCTTTGAGGGTCACTGGGGAGAAGGGTTCACATTGAGCAAAGAGTGGAGTAAGGTCTGGGATGCTCACTTTTACCGAGGGTGTGGTGGTCTAGGAGCAACTTTGAGAAGGGGCTTGTGACGATGAGTAACTTAAATGGTATCCCGCCGATTCTGGGGGAACCAGGGATGGGCTTGTGGGGCTGAGTAGCTTAGATGGTACCCCGCCGATCCTGGGGGAACCATGGAGGGGATTGGCTTGCACGGATTCAGTGACTTGAACTTTGAGAAGTAAACTCAGTTTGATGGTGAATTTGGTACACAGCGCCACCTGGTGGCCATTTTGCCTCATTACAGCATGACCTTGGGGTGCTGTCTCAAGCTGGGGAGACAGTAGACAGAGATCTCTACAGTGGGCTCAGTGCTCTGGAGCTTCTAATGGGACAGGACCAGTTCTAGGCCCATTCTGACAGCTGCCCATTATGAAGGCACCCCAAGCTCTGCGGTTAAGGGGTGACAAGGTCTCTCAGGTCTGAGGCTGTGTCCCCTTCTGGTCCAACCTCCCGGACCAGCCTGGGAGGGTACCTCCTACACCACACCCACCCAGGAGCAGGACCTGCCTACACACACACCCACACCCACACCCCCCTGTAATTCTGAAGGAAGAGCTCTTTCAGGCTTGGGCACACTTGCTAGAATGTTCTCTACCCTGTTCGCCTCATGGTACTAACTTGTTGGGACAGACCTTCACTACAAGTTGAGAGGGAAAAGTAACACACAGCATGTCTACAATTATCTGTTTCAAATGTGCAGCAGCGTCTGGGAGGATGGAGACCAAAATGTGACCCGTGATTTCATAACAAAACCCAACCCCGTGGCCACAGTCAGTTCAGACTCCAGCCACCCCGTGTGTTCCATTCGGTCCATGTGGTTTCTTGGCAGGGATGCGGGCCTGCCTCCCACCACACTGCTGGTTGAATCTGAACCATCAGCCTTCAGGTTAGCAGCAGACTGCAAATTGCTTGCACTGCCAGGGGACCTTTTAGTGGTTTAACGGAATTGCAGGTGAATTTTTTTTTTAAATCAGTTGCTTAGCTTTTTTCCAAGTCCAGGTAAACCTCAGAGATAAAGTGGGTTTGGTCTCAGGCCAAAAAATAAAGCAAGTCATGCAATAAAGCGAGCCACACACAGGAAAGCTCCTACATCGTATGGTAGTGGATTCAGTGTGTGCTAGTGTCGTGGAGAATCCTGCGAGAACATGACCAAAATACTGGTCATGAACGAGCACATCCTGTTGGAAAAATGGTGATGACAGTAACACACACAGTATCCACCAAGCACAATAAAGCTATAAATGAGGAATGCCTGTATGACCTTTACCCTCATTCCTCCAAAATCAACTAGGACAAAATCTTCATCTTGGAAAGAACAGATCAGCCGGTCAGGGCTGGAGGTGACTCCAAGACCCACTCGTTCACCTTCCTCTCGGTTCTGGGGGCCACTCTGCTGTCTGTGATGGAGCTCCTGGGGGCCAGGGACTCACTGTAACTTGAGCTGCTCATTACAGATCTGGGCACATTGCAGAGGTGGGGGATGTTTTCCCTCTCACCTGGTGACTGCACCATCTCTTTCTGCTGCTCCAGCTGCCACCATCCCGGCCCTCCACCTGCACCCCACCTCTCCACCCGTACCCCACTCCTCCATCTGCACCCCATCCCACCCCGACACCCACACCTCACCGCTCCTTCTATACTCCATTCCTCTACCTGTACCCCTCCACCTGTACCCCAGTCACAGACAATTCTTTACTCAGCTGCAAATCAGATCTTTTTCTGCTAAAATCATAAACTATTTTCCATGCCCTTCAAGGCCATGCAGATCTGGGCTCCCTCTGCCCCAAGGACTCTTCACAAATATTCCCCCTCAGAAAGGCCTCCCCCAAAATATCTGCCACTTGGTGACTTCTTCCCCAGCATGATCTCCCCCGGAACGACCTAGTTTACCTGCCTGGGGTACAATCAATCCCTGCCTGAGAAGGGACCTCATTGTTTTGTCCCCTAAACACAGAGCCCACTGCTGCCTCACCCATTAGGAGAAGGGGCTCCCCCCAAACCTCGGTTTGATGGTCAATGAGTCAGAAGGTCTAAGGGCAGGACACTGTTTCCTTTCCCTGGAAGGACCCAGATCTGCAACCTGTCCTGTAAGGAGCACCCACAGGGCTTAGTCTCTGAGCAGAGCTGACTCATAGGGGCCCAGGCAGTGGCTGCCGAATGTCACCTGCCCATGAGCCTGATGCCGACACATTTAGCCTGAGCCAGGCATTTGTTCCCTGCAATCTCCCCTGTGAGGTGGTAATTCTCCTCTGGCCCTCTTTAAGGACACAGCTGAAGCTGGCTGTCAGGTAGCCTTGGGGTTTGTTTTTGTTGTTATGTGTTGAGTCAGAACTGGTCCACAGCTGACCCTCCAGTGGGTTTTCAGAGGCAGTAAATTCACACAGGAGAGTGCCTATCCTACTCTGAATGAATGACTGATGGATTTGAACCATGTGCCTTTGGGATTGCAGCGCAGCTTCTAAACAGAGACCACCACTGACCCTGTTGTGATGCCAGCACGTAGGCACCCTCTATTGGGTTTCTTAGGCTGCAAATCTCCCTGGGAGCAGACTGCCTCATCTATTTCCTGCAGAGAGGAAGGTGGGATTGAGCTGTGGACCTTTGGGATAATAGGCCAACACTTAACCCACTACACCAAGAGGACCCCTTTAGAAACCATACCGCAGATTTACTGTCATGGAGGCTGAGATGAGTTGCGATCAACTCAGTGGCAGTGTTTTGTTACTGCCGGCTTATTCCCACATGAACCAAGCCAAGATCCTGACTTAAACTCAGGAGGAGGCAAACCAGGAGAGCCCAGGGTTGCTTCCCAGTGGACATGTGTCATCCAGCCCGTCAAGCAGAATACAACGCAGCAGGCAGAAATAAGTTTATTGCATTAGGAAAAAAAACACCAAAGAAAAACCAGCAAACACCTCCATTCTAGATACAAGTACTAGCTGGACTTAAAGGGCATAAAGAGATTCCCAAGGTCCAGGTCTCATTTCAGGGAGGGGGACACTCTCATCCCTCCTCCTTCACTGTCCCTTTAAACCCACAGACCTCACTGGGGGGGGGTCCACTGTGCGACAAGATTACCCAAGTGATTCATTTCCTTCCCCCCTCACCCGCCTCCCTGACCACTGCAGGGACTTGGCTGGTCACAAGGGGAACATGCTTGAGGTTCAGGGGTAGACAGACAGGTGTGAGCATGAGGCTGGGGTCCTGAGCCCCCACAGCTGTGGGGGAGACCACTGGCTGTTCCTCTTCACCCCCTAGACTCCCAGGCCCCGGTACTGGCACCACTGGCTGCTGGCCATGAGGAGGTTCTTCCCTGAACCAAGGGAACCACTGAGGTCAACGTCCCAGGGGAGCCCTGGCCGGAGGGGGACTGTGGCAGGGGTGTGGACATGGGAAGGGGCCAGAAAGAAAGGAGCCTGTGAGGGTCCACACCCTGAGAGGGAAGGAGTGCCCGACCCAGCCCCACACTCGTCCCAGTGGACTCTGCCAGCAAGCCCACAGAAGATGCCCCCCCCATCCTTTTCTGAGGGCCCACTGGTTTGGCCTTCAACCTTAAAGTCCCAAAGTGTCACGATGTCACAGCAGTCATGATGAGCAGGCCCCTGACCACATCAAGGCTGACAAGAGGGCAGTAACATCCTTCCTCTGCTGAGACCTGCTGGGCCAGGCGCATGGTGGGGGCGGAGAACTGCAGTTCTTGGAGGAGTGAGGGCTAGAAGCTGAGAAACACTGACATCTGAGGTATAGTGGGGGCCTGTGGGGAGGGGGCCTCGGCCCAGGGACAGCAGAGACCTGGGCAGCTCACCACACTCCCCCTGTCCCCGTGTCAAACACGGGGAAGGCTCCGATGGAAGGGAAGGGACAGCCTCACCAGCCCCAGCCCCCAAGGTGGCTCCCTGCAGGTCATGAGGGTGCCCGCCCTCACCCAGGGCCTTCTGGAGGTGGGAGTCAGGCGGACACAAGGAGGGTCAACCGGGTTGAAGTCCCGGTCAGAAGAGATCTGAAGCCTGCTTGCTGGATTTGGCATTATGTTTTCTCTGGCCTGGCATCTGCTGTCCCTCTCCAGCCCCTGCTGTCTCCAGGGGTCAGGGAGAGGAGGGAGAGGTACTGACTAGGGAGTTCATGGCCGTCGGGACAGCCCCCCAAACCTCCGGCTCATTTCACACTACAAGGTGGGGGGGTGGGCTGCAAGTCACCGGAGCCCACAGGTGCTGATGGCAAGCTGGGTTGTTTCTAGAAAGAGGGTCTTGGCTGGGGGTCCCCCAGACTATGGCTCTTGCTTTCTGTGTAGGCACAGCCTCCTTCTCCACGTGGAGAACGCTCTGAGAAAGAGCGTCAAGTGAACTCACAGACAAGACAGCCTTAATAAATTCGTGTAATACTATTAGGAGGGGACGCATCCGTCCTTTTTCGTAGCAGCACGGTCCTACGCAGCCTGACAGGCCCCTTCCCTGGGATATGTAAAAAGCCGTCCCCTGGTTGTTAGCTCTGATGTAAAATTATAAAATAGAAATCTGGTAGGGTTTGTTTTGTTTAAAAAGGAAAAGCCCCGTGAGGCAGGGCACTCCCACGTTGTGCTGTTAGCTCTGGCCGCTGGGTCTGCCGATGGGGTTCCCTCCGGAAGGCTGGATCTGGACGGAGTCCAGGAAGGGCCGCAGGGCCTGTCCAAAGGGCCTGCAGGGGCGACAAGAGGTGGGAGCCGGGGTGAGTCTCAGGCACAGCATGCTCTCAGTGCCAGCGTCGTGGCAGTCACACCATGGCCACACCAGGATGGACAGCCTGCCTTCATTCACTGTCTCCCCTGCCTCACCCATCGGTTCTCTCAGCAGAGCACCAGGACAGCCTGGCCACCCCTGGAGTCCCCTCAGCAGCCGCTACCATCACAGCACATGTGGCACGAACTCCTCTCTGGGCTCGGTTTGCCCCAGAGCTGCGGGTGCTGGGTCTGTACCTGCCCCTTTCCTTGTCTTGGTATAAACGTAATGCCTGAGGGAGGCAGAGGAAAAGGACATGGGGCAGAAGACAAAGCCAGGAGTGAGGCTGCCATGCAGCGGGTTTCTCTCGGGAACTGAGGTCTTTTGGGAAGTGCAGGAAATAATACAGGAAAAACGGCAAATCCCAGGTTGCCAGAAAGCGTTGATGTCAAAAGCCTCAAGGGCTCCTGATACGCTTTCGTAGGTGCTGAACTGCAAGAGTCACTGCAGCGACTGGGGTTTGGACTTTCCAGCACTCCTGAGGCCTGAAATCAGACTGCCCACATCTCAATCACTGGCTCTCTTTTTCCCCCCGGTGGATTCTGCTGGTTTTGAAAATCATGGCCAAGTTCAAAGGAAACGAAGCGTTCCAAAACATAAGTAGATGAAACAGAATTACCAACCCTTCCTCAGACAAGTACAGTAAGAACACTCCAGGCGCTCAAGTTTGCTCAGGGCCTTGTAACCTAGATACTTTCAGAAGACTGCAGGGTTGAGCTGCCCACCAAGGGCGGGAAAGGCAGGTTCAGGGTAGGAGACTACGGCCTTGTTTCCCCTCCCTCTAAGCCTGCCAGACCTGCCAGGAGGCCTGCTGGACAGGATCCTACTCAGGAGAAATCACGTCAGGGTCCTGAGCTGGGACAGTTAATGGAAGGGGAGGTGCGAGTGGATGCCTCTGAGCGTGTGCCTTTCAGGGGACATACCCTTGAGCCTGGCCCACTAGGCCTTTCCAAGCTTGGGCTACATCAAGGTAGGAGGGCTACAGAATGTTCTCGAAGAAAACATCACCGAGAGAGAGAACTATGCGCTCAGGCTGGGAGAACGAGAAAGAAGTCCTTGCCCTGGTGCCATGGAGGGTGAGCAGAGACAGTCCCAAAGCCCCCGCTCATTCTCTCATTACACTCGGATCTTCTCTCTACAACTGTCTCTTCACTGGACACTTCTGACTAGCACCACGCTCACGCAGACGTCAGAACCCTGGACACCTGCTGGGACTGGGGGCTGGTGGGGGTCTAGGTTCTACGGTGACATTTAGGCCAGGCTGTGTGGGTTCATTTCTAAAGGGACTAATCTGAGTGGACAGACAGCCACCCTGACAGGCTCCTCTGGCGTGACTGGATTCTGCTGAGGTCTGAGGAGGGTGGATACGGTCGGAGGAGGGGTGCTGAATGTCAGTGAGGCTCTTAAAGGTCGGGCCTGTCAGGGCCGGAGCCGGAGCCGTACTTACGTGGAGAGAAATTCAGAGGGAAGGTCGGTGATGTAAGAAGGGATCTTGCGTCCGGTCAAAAACTGGGCCACTTCGTTGGTGAAGGTGTTACAGTTGTGTTCAAAGAGGTTGTAGGCTTCACTTCTGCACATGGTGACAAAGTGTGGAGAACAGATTTAAACGAGCAAGCCAACGTCTATGTGGAATAACTCACACCACCAGGTAATGGAATGGTCAGCATGGCTGCATTTGAGAGCTGAATTAGACAAAATTCCCTTCCGTCTATTACACACCAAAAGGACAGCTTTGATATGAGGTGAAAATGCAAAAGTTTGAAGTTCAGGAGCATCTTTATAAACATCAAAGCAGAGCTCCAGGCTCAGTGCTTAGTGTCTGCAATCAACCAAAGGTTCTTTAAGAGAGACTCAGCTCAAGTTTGTGTTTTACCCTGTCTTTGACTTTCACGACAAAGCACTCGGCCAGCACAGACTGAGGACAGCCTTTTCTGAAACACCTGTGGCCAGCTCTAATCAGAAGGCCCAGATGGGCCCTCCTGGTTGTGAGCATTTTCAGGTTGGTGTGGAGCGTCTGCTCAGAGGGACTCTGGGCTCCTCCTCAAATCAATTCCGCACGTGCCGGGTCGGGCCTCACGCTGAGTGCTTGGATGACACAGTGACCTCCCCGCCCACTGGGGGACAGTTACCTAATGGGGGAGATGGACACAACTAACGCCCACCGTCTCCACTCACCGGAAGAGAGACTCCCTCAGGGAAGACAGGTACTCCATGAAGATTTCTTCTGTGACTTCTGTGCTCCCCACATCAACCACACAGTCGGGGGGCCCAAGCATTGTTCCTCCCTAAAAAAACAAAAAAACAAAAACACAACCCAGAGAAAGTCATCAAACTCATCATTTCCATGGGACTTTTCAACGTGGTTTTCCCACAGAAGACCATTACCACTATCCCAACTTCTTTTAACTTTCAGAGTCTCCAGGATACAGGAAGAGTATTATTTTCTATTTGTGGAGATTACAATAGCTTAGAACTTTCTGGCAATTCTCCACTGCCATGTGACTCCTTACATGGTCCAGTCATTCAGCTGATAAATGGAAGCCCAGAATACGGTCTCCCTTTGTCCCCAACAAGCCTGATCATGAGAGTGGAGTGGACAACGAGAAGTGGCTTTCACTCAGTGGGCCATCTTTCCATGCCTGTTTTCATGTGTACAAATAGTTTCTCTTTGTGACACATTTGTGACAACTGGGAAAACGTAAAGGACTGTGAAATCCCTGGCAGGCTGCTGACTATTTCCGTGTCTCAGTTCTTTTTTGATTTGTGAGGCTAAGCCAATGGTGGTGATAGGGTCCCCTACGCAAGGGAGTTAGTTAATAGGTCCTGAAAGGTCTATAGGCTTCCTTATGGGGTTGACAGTCTATGGAGAACCAACAGGATTACTGGAAAGACGTTGAAGGATGAAGAACACTCTGGAACAGGGCCCCTCCGACACATATTGAAGTAATCATAATCAAGTTATTGGACATCGACAATATGGGTGGTGTTCTTGCTGTTGGGGATTTCATGGTGAATGGGATAATCATTGTGGCTAGAGAATAATTATTGCAGACCCGGAAGAGACTAAGAGGTCACTATGTGGCCCCGTTATTCACTCATATAACAAACATGGTTTAACAATTTACTAGGTGCTGGGCTCTATGTTAGGACTAGGAGTACAATGTACATAAAACAAAAATGAGATTTGGCCCTCAGGGAGTTTACAGTGCAGTGGAGAAGGCCAACAACAGGTCATAAACCAATGTCTAACTGTAAACTTGGGTCAAGCAGAGAAGGCCATGAAGAAACACGATAGTGGACCAGCTTAGTCTGGAGGACAGTGTGGGACGGATACACACCTGTGAAAGTGGCCCTGGGTCCCAATCTGAAGAATGAGGAGATATTAACCAGGTGAAGGTGCAGGGAGGTGTGCTGATGTCAGATACAGTTTCAAAGCCCAAGGTGTGCTTAAAGAATGAGAAGAGGCTGAGGTGGGCAAGAGTCCAGCTCGATTAGAGGCCGGCCAGGGAGACAGACTGAGACCAGACTAAAGAGGGTCTTGGAGGCCATTCTGGGATTTCTGGGTTTGTTCTGAGAACAATCGGAATAAGCTGCAGCATGTCCTGACTGCGTTTCCCTGTGAAAAGGTCACTTGGCTTCCCAAGTGAAGAAATGGCTATGAAAGATTGGCTACAAGGCCGGGAAGGTGATGCAGAGGTCCAGGCAGGAGGTGAAAGCACTGGACGAGTGGGCAGACTGAGGCAGATGCATTCAGGATGCATTTACAAAGTCACATTGCCTGGGCTTAAGAAGGATTTGTTAGTGATGACCTCTTATCTGTGAGCATTGACTAATGGCGGGGTCTTCGCTTGCACATTTAGTGTAGTCCTAGGACGGTGCTGACAATTTTTTGGGAAAGGGGATGAGTTTCAGAGAAACCTAACTTTGGGTGCATAAGTTGGGCATCATCATCCAACATAATATTTGTCTAAGTTCACACCATACCATGCAGAGTGATAGGGATATAAGAGTAAGACAGTCTCAGCCCATAGGGAGTTTACACATAGTCCCTTGTGGAAGCAGAAACAGGCCATTTCACTGAAACATGTGAGACAGAGGGGATCTATAGCTTTGACTAGCTGGAGATCTGGGAATGTGTTCCTTGAGCTGAATCTTGAACAGCTACGCCACAGGCCTCTCTACTGGGCTCACAGCCAGGAGGAAGACAAGTAGGCGTGAAATTGCGGGTCTCTGGAACCACCCAGGACCCGAGAGGCAGGCCCAGGTCCAGGGGAGGGACTCACCGGGGGACAGCTGGAGATGCCGGCACTGCAGAAGAAGAACTCGTCTTTGTGCACAACTATGGAGGTATGCCTGCCGCGGAGGAAAGACAGGTGAGCCAGGAATCGTGAAACCGGTCAGGACAGAAGCAAGCACCACACTGTGTGAAGAGTATTTGCCCAAGGACATGACTGTGGTCAAGAGTCTCCTAAAACTCACCAAACAATGGTGTGAAGAGGATAGAGACCACAGACCAGGTGTTTTCAACAGTGGTACTGCCGACACTTTGGGCTGGCTAATTCTCTGTTGCTGCGTGTTGGGTGGGAGGCGGCTATCCATTGCATCCTAGGATATTTAGAGCTTTTGGGAGTCTAGATTCACTAGATGCCAGCAGTAACTGCTCCTCCAGCTGTGAGAGCCAATAATGTCTCTGATGTTGTTAAGATGTCTCCTGGGTGTGGCTTATGTAATCAGTGCTGAGATAATCACCTGAATGTTGACATGTCAATGACTGAAATAAATTCTGCAGACTGAGGTGTGCCTGGGTCATGCTGAACAGACCAGGCGATGCTAAGTGTGGATCTATGTCACGCTGTTGTGGTTCGGTGACAATGACTGATGGCAGTCCTAAGCATTCTCAGGTCCAGTTGACCAAGGGTCATTCTGGTCAATCCAATGCCAGTAAGTTTTAGGAATTCAGATGGATTATCTCTGTTGACCTGTGGTTTCCTCATAAATGGAACTGGTGTTGGGAGGCTGACAGAGAAGGTCTGTCCAAGACCAAGAACACAGCTGTGTATTAGGAAAGAAATGGGCGGTCCTCACCACCTATGACGAGTGGATACAGCAGGATTTCTCGATCTTGGCTTATTGATATTTTGGTTTACAAACATCTCTGTTGTAGGGGATTGTCCTGGGCACTGTCAATTGTTTAGCAGCATCCCTGGTCTCTACCCACCCGACAAAAATGTCTCCAGACATTATCAAATGTCTCCCTGGGGGTGAAGGGGCCCCTGGTGGCAAGTTACTGCTTTCAAATTTGAGATCTAAGACATGGAGAGGGGGCACTGAAGTCATAGACAAAACCCTGAACCTTGTGTTTTCATCCACTTTGAAATCCCACATTACTATCAACTTATGGGGCCACGCAACTTACCAGATGCCTTCCAGCTGTTTCCCTGTAGAGAGAAGAAGAGATTTAGCCACTGAGGACCAGACCAAAAGGCTCTGGCTGGAGTTGATCCAGAACACTGGTCCAACCCAGAGAGACCCTTACAAACCTCACAGGGAATTTGCAGGGACTTCAGGTCTCCCCTAAAAAGGTTGGACGGATGTGACATAAGATGCTGTGCTGAGTTAAAAAGTAATCAGTATCCTCTATCAGAGCCCAGGATTAACGTACAGGCATGGATGTAGATGCAGCTCTGCTTGATGGCTGCTCCCCCCAATCCTTAAAGGTCAGTTCAACTTTGCCCTTTTCATTTCTGCAAGTCTTATTTATACTGAAATTTACAGGAAAACAAAAGGTTAGAAAAATTGTTATCCATTTCCTCAATAAGTATTTATGAGGCAAAACTGTAAAGAAAATCAAAGCACAACACTTTGAAAATGCCACCCATTTCAATAGATAATGCACACATTTACTCCATACCCACGAGGGCGCTCTGGTGGCCTAGCGGCAAGAAGTTGTGCTGCCATCCTAAAGGCACACGGTTCGAGGCCACCAGCTGCTCCGTGAGACAAGGATGGGTAATCTCCTCCCATGCCTCTGAAAGCCCTCTGGGGAGGTCAGCTATGGGTTGGTTCCAACCCTACAGTACACAACGACAACAGCAACAACTATGGGCTAGAAAGTCTGCTTGCTGAAGTGCGAATATGAACAGATCACTGCTCCTGCCATTAATGATGGAAAAGGCAAATGGAAAGAGATCCACATACAAAATGAACTAAACCCCAGTTTGATAAACTCTAATAATCAAACCCAAATCCTCCACCCTCCCCTTATCATGAAGATCCTCCCTCAGACTTCGGAGGCTGTAAATACTACTTTTTGCTAAACCAAGCTTGTACTTTAAGGCCCGTGTCCCCCGACCCAGTAGGTCCAAAGGTCTCTGGCTGCGGGTTCTGTGCCATCAAGTTGACTCAGATCCACAGCGACCCCGTGAAGGAAAGCTTGGCGCTTGCCTGCCCTTGTGCCAGCCTCAGCATCTCCACTGCGCCTAGCTCACTGTTAACGCCTGTGTGTCCATCCAGCTTGTTCTTTCTCTGTTGTTATGTGCCCGAGTCGCTTGCGACTCATAGGACCCTATGCACAACAGCCCTCAACTCTGCTCTGTCCTGTGCCAATTGCACTGCCTCTGACACACCCATCCCAATTACCCCAGTCACTGAATCAATCCATCTCATAGAGGGCCTTCCCCTCCTGCGCTGTCCCTCCACCCTCCCAAGCATGATGTCCCTCTCTAAGGACCAGTCTCTCCTCACAACATGTCCAAAGTATGTCAGACGAAGCCCCAGAATCCTTGCCTCCAAGGAGCAGCCTGGTTTAACCCTCCTCCAGGATCTTCTCTGTAGATCCTCTATTTTTCCAAGCATGATGTTCTTATCCAAGGGCTGACCTCTCCTGATAACATGCAAGATATGTGAGACAAGATATCACCTTGTCTCCAAGAAGAATCCTGAAAAATCACAAGACTGTTTGTCCTTTTGGTGGTTCATCATTTGGTCAGTCCTCCAAGCCAACACCACACTTCACAAGCCACAATTTCTCCTTGGTCTTCCTTATTCACTGTCCAATTCTCAGATGCATAAGACATAAGAAGAAATAAAAAATACTATCGCTTGGCCCAGGTACACTTTAGTACCTGGGAACAAAGGATCCATTTTTGGTTTTTTGTATAAAATTTTCACGACTTTCAACAGTCTTCTAAAGCAGCAGACTGAAGGATGAGATAAATTCTCAATGTAGAGTAAAATGCCTGACATACACCTAGTTAGACCTGTGTGACTTTGCCAAAGGCTCAACCTCACTGACACCAAGTAACTGTCATAAAAAACCAAACAAAAGCCTCTAGACAACCTAGATCCCCTCCAGTCTTCTGCCAAACCACCTCTCACCAGAACCCACCAGCTGCTCCATTAGAGAAAGGACTTAGTGAACTGCTCCTGCCAAGACCAGCCGAGGAAACCCACTGAGAAGCTTTGGCTCCTATGCAGGGTAGCTATGAGTTGGGACTGACTTCATGGTGTACAACAATGCCAACATCCAAGGCACGAGGGACATAGCAACAATAGCTCTGAACTCTGCTCTTTCCTGAGCCAGTCTCAGTGTCTGACACACCTATCCTCATTACCCCAGTTACATCTCATCTGGGGTCTTCCTCTCCTGTGCAGTCCCTCGATCCTTAAAGCATGAGATCCTTCTCCAAAAACTGGTACTCTTGATTACATGCTTAAAGTATTTGAGACAGAACTTTAAAAGCCTCCATGGAGCAGCTTGGTTTCACCCTCTCAGAGACAGACTTATTAGTTCTCTTATCAGTCCAACGGTATGTTTAATACTCTTCTCCAGTACCAAAGCTCAAAGGTATAAATTCTTCTTTTGTTATCCTCAGTCATTGTCCAGTTCTCTGATGCATAGTGAGTAACTGCAAAAACCACGGTCTGGATCAGGCACATCTTAGTCTCTAAACTGGCATCCTTGCTCTTCAGCACTCTGGAGACGTCTCTAACACGCAGATTTTCCTAATGTAATTCATCTTTTGATTTCTTGACTGTTGGTGCCAAGAGTGTTAACTGTGGAACTGAGCAATCCAATCTGAAATTGTTAACTGAAAGGACCAGTTATCAGAAACTCAGTTTCTGATAAAGTACAGTTAACCCCACCCCACCAGCTTGAGTGGTTTTTTAACAAACAAACAAACAACCCCAACCTGTGGTAAATCCCACCCTGATTAATGAACTGCCACAAAGTGGAATTCTTCTTTTTAAGGGCACAAGGAATTTTCTGCATTCCTGTATCTGAAGTAATAAATAGGTTTCCAAACTGTTTCTCTGAGATATGGCTAGCCAATTGAAGGTGGACAAATACCCCAACTACTGTGGATGGCCAATCATGGCGTTTATGGTTGGGCAGGGGAGTAGCAGAGGTATAAAAGGAGGGGCAGACATCAATTAGGGGCTCTTGGCTGGATGCTGCAGTGTCAGCACGCAGGAGCCCAGGTTAGAACTTGAAATAAACTTTGTTAAGTCGGCTAATTGGCTCGGTGATCTTTTTGGGGACTCGCTCTGTTATATTAACAATCTCAATCTCTTCTCTATCATGAGGTTGCCAATTGGCCTAGAGTCGAGAATCTTAAATTTTCTTGATGTTGAGCTTCAATTTATATTGCAAACTAATGATCCTTGACCCTCTGCAGCAAATGCTCAGGTCCTCCTCAGATTCAGCAAGTAAGGTGTGTCATCTTATATAATGCAGTTTGCTGATGAGTCTTCCTCCAATCCTGATGCCACATTCTTCCTCCTAAAGTCTGGCTTCTTGAATAATCTATTCTGCATATAGATTGAAAAGGAATGGAGACTAGACAAATGCCTGGCACACTCCTTTTCTGATTCTAAACTATGCAGTGTATTGGAAAAGAAATAAGACATAGAAATATCTTTCCTAGTTCTTACAAGAGAGAGGAAGAAGACAGTCTATGAGTAACTGACATAAGAAATCGCTGAATGACATAGTACATTGGCAGTATTGAGGGATACAGAAAAATGAAAGCAGGCAAAGGGTACTGGGAGTTTCAGGAGTGATTGGGATGGGTCTCTTTGAGGGGCAGCATCTGAGCAGAGACTTGGAGGAGCTGAAGGCAAAAACCACGCAGAGGCGTTTGCACCAGGCAGGCAGGTGTCTTAAGGGACATAAGAAGGTCAGAGTGGGGGAGTGAGGAATTAGAGATGAACAGAGGTAACAGGAACAAGCAGCCAGGACCCTGTAGAAGCTGGGAACTTGTCGAAGGTCGACTTGTCCAATAGAGCAACTGCTTACAACACGTGGCTATTTACATTACAATTCAATAAAATCCAGTCTCTGGGTTGCATTAGCCACATTTCAAGGGTTCAACAGCTATGTGTGGCTAGTGCTTACTTACTGATAGTGACCATCCAAATCTTTTTTTTTCCTTTAAAATTCCACCCCACCCCCACCCCTAATCCAGATCCTTTACAAAACCTTTTATGGTGATTAGGGTGGAAGCTTACAGAGCAAATGTGTTTTCCATTCAACCACCCCTATACATTTTGTACCAGGTCACTTACTGCAATCCGCCTGCCAGCACTCCCCATGTCCTGCCTGTGGTCATCATTTCCACTTGCCCTTCTTTCCCACACCTCCCTGCCTTCTGAGCTTTGTCCCTGGGAAAACGCTGTCCTTTTGGTCTATTGTTCTAAGGGGTATGTACCTCTTGGTGTTATTGTTCATCTTATAGGCCTGTCTATTGTCTGGCTGAACTATCTAGAATGCTCCTATCATCAGAGAGAGAGAGAGAGAGAGAGAGAGAGAGAGCTACTGAGCAATGCTGCTTTGCTCTCAGCTCCCTCGTCTATAGAACAGTCTCTCCCCTTGTAACATGCCCAGGACTGAAAGAGACACGAATTATACTAGCACAATGCGTATCCAATAGAAGCCAGTTTCTTTCTTTTAGACTTTATAACTTAAAATTTGGTTCATGGTTCCCTCAGGTTAGAGAGCAGAACTACTTCAAAAGTTTTCAAAACTGAGACCTTTTGGCTTGTCTTCTAAGGCATTTCCAGGTCAGCTGGTGATGTGAACCCACTAGCTGCTGCTTGGGAGAAAGATAGGATATCTCTGCCCATAAAGATTTGCAGCCACAGACCTAAATGAACTGACTGGCTGCCAGTGAGGTTTAAGGTAAAGGTCCAGGTAAAGGAAATACCCCAAAGGGTTTCCAAGGCTGTGAATCTTTGCAGAAGCAGACGGCCTCATCTTTCTCCCACGGCAGGCTGCTGGATTTGAACAGTCAACCTTTTGGTTAGCAACCCAACACTTCATCCATGGCATCACCAGGGACCCTAAGCTCAAACCCAAACCTACAGCTGTCAAGGTCCTTCCAGCTCCTAGCAATCCTTCATCCGAGGCTCAGATCTGGACTAAAATGATGGGGCTTTG